TTTTGAGCATATCCTTTTACCATCAGTCTTAAACGATACCTCTCCACTTAATCGTCACTATTTCGCTTGATTTTGAAGACCCATTTGTTACCGATTGGCTTGCTTCCTTGTGGTAGTGGCACAAAGTCCCATGTATTATTTTTATGAAGGGCTTCAATTTCTTCTTGCATCGCCATCATCCACAGTGAAGCATCTGAGCTGTTTATTGCCTCATGGTATGTTGATGGCTCACCGTCCTCTGTTAAAAGGCGGTATTCAATATTTCCTTCTATAACATAAACTGAGTGCCAATTGTGACGTCTTCTCACACGATCTGATTGATGAGTTGTTGGAGATTTAGAACTCTGTGGTTATTGTTTATCATATACTGGTTCTGCTTCAGAAGAATCTCCTTGTTCAACCTCATTTTCCACATGTATTTGTGTAGTCTCTGACTTTTCAACGCTATCATCGTATTCTTTTCTTTTTGGCTTATCTTCTACAAAGATAACATCCCTGCTGATGATCACTTTGCGGGCAGTGGGATCCCACAAACGATACCCCTTTACACCATCAACATACCCCAAGAATTTGTATTTCTTGGATTTTGGATCCAACTTTGAAATTTCTTGGGAGTTGTACATCACGTACACAATACTTCCAAATACATGGAGGTTTGATTAATCAACTGGTTTACCAGTCCACATCTCTATTGGTGTCTTCAGCTCTATTGCAGTTGATGGAGCTAACACAGTATTGATTGCTTCTGCCCATTATCTACAAGATAACATCCCTGCTGATGATCACTTTGCGGGCAGTGGGATCCCACAAACGATACACCCCTTTACACCATCACATACCCCAAGAATTTGTATTTCTTGGATTTTTGGATCCAACTTTGAAATTTCTTGGGAGTTGTACATCACGTACACAATACTTCCAAATACATGGAGGTTTGATTAATCACTGGTTTACCAGTCCACATCTCTATTGGTGTCTTCAGCCTATTGCAGTTGATGGAGCTAAGGCAGTATTGATTGCTTCTGCCCAAAATGATTTTTCTAGGCCTGCAGCTCTCAACATTGCTCTTATTCTTTCTAACAAGGTTATGTTCATCCGCTCTGCGACTCCATTTTATTGAGGAGTGTTCTCCACTGTGAACTGTCTTTTGATGTATTTTTTCCTGCAAAAGTCATCAAATTCTTCACTTGTGCATTCTCCTCCATTATCTGTTCTGAAACACTTTATCTTATTTCCAGAATCAAGTTCCACCCTCGCCTTGAAGTTTTGAAAGTTGAAAACACATCTGATTCTTTCTTAATAGGGTACACCCAACATCCTGAAGTAGTCATCAATAAATGAGATAAAGTATTTTTATCCACCTAGGGATGTAACTGGTGCTTGCCATACGTCAGAATGAACCAATTCTAGAACACTTTTGCCTCTAGAATTTGACGTGTTGAATTTCAACCGGTGCTGCTTACTTGTTATGCAATGTTCACACAAAAGTAAGTGATACCTTCGTTAAGCCTGGAATTAACTTTTGCTCCACAAGGACTTTCATTCCTTATTCTGACATGTGTCCAAGTTTCTGATGCCATTGCATTGCAGAATCTGAACTACATGAGGCAACAGAGGCTTCTGCTTCTAGCAAAGTCTCTCCCTTCAGTATGTACACAAGTTTGATGCTATCTTTTCACCTTTCATCACCATAAGCGCTCCACGAAACACCTTCATGATTCCTTTCCATGTTTCAATCTTGCTTGCATTATTATCCAACAATCCATAGGATAATAAATTTTTCTTCAATCCTTTCACGTGCCGCACATCTTGAATAACTTTAATTGTTCCATCATACATCTTTAATTTGATGGTTCCCACGCCAACGATCTCTAAGGCATGATCATTGCAACTATACACAGATCCTCCTGAGACATGTTCATAATGATGAAACCATTCTCTTCTTGAGGTCATGTGATATGTTGCTCTCGAATCAATAAGCCATATATATGTAAATCTTTTTCTGCCTTCCACGGTGGTTGACGCTTCACAACATAGAGTATCTCCATCATCTGAAGTGTTTGCGGTATTGCCTTGTGGATTAGAGTTTTTATTTAGACTCAAACAATCCTTCTTCAAGTGACCATTCTTTCCACAGTTGTAGCACTTTAAATTCTTTTAGCTTATTGACTTCGATCTACCATGTTTGTGACTGCTTCTTTGGCCATGTTCTGTTGATCTTCCTCTCATCGTTGTCAACGCTTCTGCTTGTTGTAGATTTACTTGTCTGTCTTCCTTGTTCTTGCGTCGATTTTCTTCTTGTAAAATAGTAGCTGCAACATCATCGAATACTAGACTGGTGACATTACTGTTTGTCAAGTTGATGATGAGTTGATCATACGAATCAGGTAGACTTTGAAGTAGAAGTTCAACACGTTCTTGTTCTCCTATTGTACATTTTAAGGATGTAAGCTGAGAAAATAAAGTGTTCAGCATGTTTAAGTGCTTCGTCACTGAAGTAGATTATGGCATCCGGAGAGTGTACAATTTCCTCTTAAGGAAAATTTTATTGTGCAGCGATGTGGCCTCGTACAATTTGGTGAGATGATCTCATATCTCCTTAGATGTCTTCTTCTCCTTGATGCTTGACAATACTTCATCTGCTAATTCTATATGAAAGTTTGTCATTGTATTCCCGTCCATTTCAATCAATTTGTTGTCATCTGTGAAATCTACTGGCCTTTCACTGATAGCTGCTTGACAACCGTCTTTCCTCAGGATGACCTTCATTTTCAATTTCCACAATGAGAAATTTCTCCCATTGAACTTTTCAATATCAAATTTCGTTGCCATAGGTTCTATTACGGATAGCTCCCACTATTTCACTATCGTGAATAGTTCTCTGGAACCTTCAAAGAACGAGTAATATCTTTTTACTTTCTTATGTTGGAGGATCCACCTTTTGGTGGCAACCACAAAGACAATAAGTAGATATTACACATTCTAATATGGCTCTGATGCCAATTGTTGCGGTATACGGCTATTGGATAAAGCAAAATCGCAACTGATAATTTGAGAAAATAAAAATGAAGATAAAGAAGACACAAATTTTATGTGGAAAACCCTAAATAATATAGGGTAAAACCACGGGCAAAGGTAGAAGAATTTCACTATGAGAAAATAGGAATTACAACTTCTCTCGATCTAACAAGGAGAAAACAATGACAATTCTCTTGATAAAAAGGAGAAACACTCTCAAGAAACTCTCTAAATTCTCTAGTATTGGGAGAAAGCTAGAATGATTTGAGATGGTTTGAAGCTAATGGGTTAGGGTATTTATTTGAAGCTTAAGGACTAATCTTGTAAATACCTTAAAGTTTAGAAACTAAATTTAGTAATTATCCCTTATTATTTCCACTTTTTGACAAAAATAATCGCCCCATTTGCTGCCCAAATTAGCCGCCTGGAGGCTATGACTTTTCAACAAAATGGTTGATTATATTTTCATGGCTATATAGATTATAGCAAGATATATGATATCTTGTGTATGAATCAAATAACTCTGAGATTAACAAGAGCTCGATATTAAAATCAAAGAATGATTTATTATTTGAAAATATATATATCCTTATTAGATTAAGAAAATTGATCGAATATTATCAATAAAGATAAATCTAGATGTTCAACAAGATATTAAAACAGAAATATTGTCATCGTGACAAAAAAATGTGTGACACTAGGACATAAAATCTTAATTTGTTGACATACTCATTATTATAAGTAACAAAAAAAAGGTAAAAATGTACTAAAAATATGTAAAATCCAAGATTTGACATGAAATATGAGGTTGATGATATGATTCAACTCTTTTTTAGGGTCTCATATTGAAAAATCACACGTGGTAAGAGAAATTTGATAAAGTTGTTTCCAGCTTACCTAGAACTTCAACGAATAGAGTTAACAATTCAATGACTTAGTAGATAATCTACCCTCATTATTATCGTTTAAAGCAATATCGAATAAGTTATACACCTGCATTAAATCACTTGCGTCTTCCTTAGAAGCCGGAATTTGATTATTTTGTCTAAATCATATACTGAAACTTAAACATTATCAATTATTTAAAACAATCTATTTAATCATTTGAGAATGCTTGTAGAAATGTTTTGGCTCAAAATTTTGTTTGAAATCTAAAAGTATTTTAGACATTTCGTATTCAGTAAAAAATACCACGTTTAAAACGTGATTATTAATTTAAACCAAGAAATTGGAAAAACAACGCTTTTACATTGAAAAAATTCGTTTGAAGAAGCATTCCCAAACGAAGCAGGGAAACTTCGATTTATCTGGTGCGGAAGCTTCAGGTGTTGTTAATTAAAATTCATTTATGAGAAGTTATTGATTAAAAAATTGTGAAATTTAATTCATGATTCGATGATTGATTTTAATATAAAGTATCTAAACTCTTTTGAATAGGTTACTTTGGACGCCTTAGTAACTTAATTTCTTCTTTCAATTTTTTTTTAAAATCATACGTAATATAACATTAAATTTTTATGTATTAGTCATTCATCGATAAAAGTTAACAACTATGCTGATGTGTATTGTTACTATTATTGTTGTTATTGTTATGTTAATAATTTAGTGACAAATTTTAATGATTTTATTCTACCAATAAAGTGGTGGCATCTGTCATCACCTTATTGGAATAAAATCAATAAAGATTTCACAAGTAAATGCAGCAGAGTTCTATCCCAGTTCTCTTTGAAGAGGAGCCAGACAATTAGTCACGTTAATATAGCGGTTATTGTTTTAACAGCGGGTGATAAAAAAAAACATAGCATAAGATATGATTTTGAAATAAATAATTGAGTGACTAAAACAGAAATAAGGTAATAGATGAGTGACTAATTAGATAGTTTACCCTTATAATTTCTAATCTCACCTGTACATCACTTTGGGTTCTCATGTTGTTTCCCCTCTTCAGTGCAATTTGTGATCAACTAATAACTAATTAGGCAAATTTAATCATCAATCTGATCTAACCATACCCTCGCCAACTAAATCCCCAAATAGTTATTCCTATTCACTGCCGCCACTCTCTACGGCCGTCGCCGCCACTAGCTTCTTCCCCGTTAACCCATCACCGTTTTCCTCACCCGCCGCCGCCGCCTCCGCCGCCGCTTCCTATTTCTATTCTGCCAATTACTTTCATTACCAAAACAGCCTCGTCGGTAGGCAAATTAACCATGTGGGGATGGTGGAGATTCGGGAAATGGACGGTCCTGATTATGTTCCTTCACATCATTGCTATTTTGATTTTCACCAAAGGCTTTCTCTTAACCCGAACTGAACTTCCGCATTCCAGCCGCTGCTCCGATATTTCTCAATCTCCTTGCCATTCTTCTTCTTCTTCCTCTTGTTGGACAAAGCCTGCAGTTGACCGTCTCATCATCATCATTCTCGATGCGCTGCGATTTGATTTCGTTGCTCCAAGTTCTGTTTTTGAGCAGAAACAACCTTGGATGGATAGACTGAAAGTGTTACAGAGGATGGCTTTAGAGAATCCTTCTTCAGCTAAAATTTTTAAAGCTATTGCTGACCCACCAACTACCAGTTTACAACGTTTGAAGGTTGCTTTGCTTTTCGTTTTACAAGTTTTCAAAGTTGTTCTTTGATGAAAATAGCTATTAATGGTTTTGTTTTTATTGATGTTTTCAGGGATTGACAACAGGGGCACTCCCTACTTTTATTGATGTTGGGAATAGCTTTGGTGCTCCTGCCATTGTTGAAGACAATTTCATTAAGCAGGTTTATTTGATCATTACTCCTTTTGCTCCATAAAAAAAATGGTTTTAAATAGAAAATCCAATACTAGTAATTTCATTTTAGAATTAAAAGTTAGAACCATATTCTTTCTAAAGAGAGAATTTGAGAGAATTTGTGATTTTCCTTTGACATATAGAATATTATGTTGGACTAGTGTGGCATTTTTGTTTCAATATATATGTATATATACACTTGTTTTTGCCTTTTAGGAAGTAAAATCTAAGTAGCAAAAGTAAGCACCAAAAAAAATGCTTAATGTTTATTGGTGTTCTTTTTATTTTTGTTGGACTAGTGTAACATTTGTTTGCATTTGTTTATGTTCTTTTTATTTTATTATTCCAGTTGATTCAAAATGGGAAGAGAGTGGTGATGATGGGAGACGATACATGGACACAGTTGTTTCCTAATCATTTTAACAAATCTTATCCATACCCTTCTTTTAATGTTAAGGATCTTGACACGGTATGCCATGTTTTAACTGTAATTCATTGGAAGACATTATCGCTGTATCTAAATGGCTGTGATATATGATGCCAATTTTGTTTTGTTCAGGTAGATAATGGATGCATTGAACACCTACTTCCATCATTACATCAACAAGATTGGGATGTCCTTATTGCACATTTTCTTGGAGTGGTATGACTAACATTGTTTATTTTGAGATGAGAAAGTTCTCATAATTGTTTGGTTAGTGAACTATTCAGGGTTATTTCTTTTGGAACCTGAAGCTGAATTTGAGCTTTATTATTATTATTATTTTTGATAAGACAAGCTTCATTATTTGATGTTGTAGTAGTTATTAGTAATTCTTGTTGTGGGGGGGGGGTTATTTCCTCTTCCTTGATGCCTCATCACCTAGGTGTTATGCTTTTGCTATTGAAATCTGATTTTATGTTAAAATCGGGTTATACCTAGGAAAAGAAAACCTTTCTAAACTAAGTCCTTTTACCTTGTTTAGTGTACATGTACCTATTGATATGTTCTCATTATGTGCTACAAATTTTAGTTTAGCCGTACTGATTTAAAGCAATTGTGGATGCTTCATTTGCTTCTAAAATCACCTGAAGTTTGTAAGATTTTGTATCCATTATTAGTGGATATGTTGCAAATTTGGTATTTACGAGCTTCTTTTTGGTCAGGATCATGCAGGCCATATCTATGGTGTTGATTCCACTCCAATGATCGAAAAATTGGAGCAGTACAATGCAGTGTTAGAGGTAATCTGTTGAAGCAATACAATTACTCGTTGCTTCCAAATGGTTTAGCATCTTTAGCGTTCTGCTTCCATGGATTCTCCATCTTTAGCTTTTTTTTTCTTTCTTTTTTAAAAGTACAGTCCTAACCAAACCTCCCTGTCTCACAAAAACTCCAATTGAGAACTTATTTTGCAATCTGTGACATGCTTGTTTCAGTTTTCTATGGACTTGGCATGGAAAATATCTTGTAGAAACTCGTTTTGCATTTACTTCTTATCCTTCTGTTGCTTCCCAAGAGTTCATTTAGCTTTTATGTCTCTTCCTGACTGCTTGTCTGATTCAGAAAGTGATTGAAGAACTCCAGAACCAATCTGGATCTGGCAAGTTACATGAGAATAGCTTACTTATTGTAATGGGTGACCATGGACAAACCTTAAATGGGGATCATGGAGGAGGAAGTCCTGAGGAGGTCTGATGCTCATATTCTGATCTACGACATGGGAATTTATTTATTTATTTGGCATTTTAGTGAATTATTTGTTTCTTCCTGTAGGTTGAAACATCAATATTTGCCATGAGTTTTAAAGATTTGCCTTCTCTGCCATCTGAATTTGTTTCTTCATCTTGTGAGGTAGACTTGGCATTTCCTCTCTCTTCCATTATATGTTGGTTGCTTCTAGGAGGAGTAGAGATGTTTGCTCTCCTAGGCTGCTTTTGTGTGCCTTGTTGATAACAGTAGAGAAAGGGAAGGAAAAAAGGCATAATACATTAACATTAGAGACCACTTTAGCTGCAATTTTTTATCAGGTGACTTGATTATAATTTTTTGTTAGGGTTCTGTCTACCATGTCATTTATTAGGGGACAAAACTTTGTCAGATGGTAACAAGTTTATAAAGTTGACCATTTATTTAGCATTTTCAAGAGCCAGATTGTTTTCTTATTGTTCTTCCTTTTGTTTCAGCCTAGCAAGAATATATGTATCAGCTCTATCCCCCAGGTTGGAATGGTCTTTTACTATTTGTAGTCTCTGATCACTTCCCTTTGATTGTTTTCATCTATAAAACAAGTTTTAAGTCATATCACTTCTTGCAGCTTGATTTTGCAGTAACGGTGTCATCACTTCTTGGGGTCCCCTTTCCATTTGGAAGGTGCCGCATAACAATTACATTTTTCCATGTTATGAATATATTAATCACTAGTTTTTTTCTTTGGACTTATTTTGAAGTCATTTTATTTTGCTACTAAATAAATGATGCATGTTAGTTGCATTGGGGAGTTGGGAGTGAGAAATACTATTTAAATGGCTCTTGGGATTGACCCCTAAAAGGCAAGGTGTTTTTCTGTCTGCTGTTTTCCTCTGCCATATTATCTTTATTGGCATCTCGAGTGTTTGCCAGATACATCTCTGATTTTTAATTTATAATTTCCAGTTGGCCAATTAACTAAAGTCAAAATTTCAACTGAAAATTTCAGGGAAAAGCTGTGAGTCTGCTACTCATCCAATTATAACAATTATGGCAAATGATTTTTGTTTCTTTTTTATTTGGAGGCAGTTGCCTTATTTGTTTCCCCTTCACAGCCTAGGGCTTCTACCACTGCACTGGACAGTGGCTTTGAATAGGAATGAAAGCAGCCTCTAGTGAGACAAACATCTTTGTACCATGAAGCTGCCTCTCACCACAACTTCCCCCACCCTCCCCGGGGGCCCCAAGAGATAGTTGTTGATAGTGACTGTTTATGTAATTTAGACTTTATGATTTTCGAGAGGTGTGACGTATCTGTATGTTTAAATCCACGTCTTATTTTTTGGTTTATATTTTACTGACTTTAAGTTTGTCCTCTGCATCAAATAGTGTTCTTTTCACTTTTCATAGTCCCATAAAAAATGCCATGCTAACTCTTCTTTTTTCAGCATTGGGCGTGTTAATCCCGAGTTATATGCTTTAACTGTTGGTACATGGAACTTGGATGACAATAAAACATGGAACAACCAGGATGAAACAAAGTTGGAAGAATGGTTGCGAAATTATGTTAATGTCCTCTGCGCCAATTCATGGCAGGTATTATTTTTCTTTGATCTTGGTTCCTGGCTTGAAGGTATCAACCACATGAGCAGGGAGGGAACTGGGATTAGACAGTGTGAGGGTTCAATTTGTCTAACTTCAAAGTTAACAGGGACCTAATAAGTATTTAATCCCAAAATTTGGGGGACAATCAGTAATCAAACTAGCAGGGACAAATTTTCCATTAGACAATTTTTTTTTTTTGGGGGGGGGTGACAGGGCCCCTCCCACTCCTTTGGTGGTTCCGTCACTGCACATGAGAACTTTGTCGACTGTATTTTTCCTTTAAAAATATACCAAGTAGGATAGTTTATCACTTATGCATTGCCTGGTAAGAGAACATGAGCTAGCAGTAAGAAAGGGATTAGATAAGACTTAGCTGTAGGTATAGCAAGGTATATTATTTGTTAGAAACACCCTCTTGCTCACTATCCTTTTCCTCTCTCGTACTAATTCTTTTAATATAGGTGAAAAGATACATTGATGTCTATTCAGCTTCATCAGTTATCGGATTTTCCTCTGAGGACTTATTCCACATATCTGATTTATACGCTAAAGCAGAAGAGAATTGGTTGAATTTATCTTTGTACAAGAATGAAAGTTCCAACACATCATTGCCAATTCTTAAAAGGCAAATAGTTGCCTATTTTGAGTTTCTTTCTTATGTTGCTGAGTTGGCTCGCTCCAAGTGGACTGAGTTTAATTTAAAGATGATGGGAACTGGTATTGGGATTATGTTATTATCTTTATATTGTCATATCCTTGCCATTAAGAAGCTGAATAAGTCCTATGGTGTCTCTCTTCTGTTATCGAGAGATCCTGGAATTTCCTTTGGATTAATGCTTGCTTCCTTTACGACACTGATGCATGCATTGAGTCTGCTATCAAATAGTTATATTTGTAAGTTCTTGAACCTGGTATTTGGTTATCATGTGCGAGCATCTTTTAATCACTGTTGCTGACTTTCCCACTATCTTTTTCTTACTTGATATCAGTGAAAGAAGGGAAAGTTGCAAATTTCCTCTTGGCCACTACCGGCATCGTGACATTACGTTTTTCTTTCATGAAGAACAAGATGCTACTTGAAGTGAGTATTGATCTCCTTGAGTTTAAATACATCCCCCCCTCCCCCGCTAAAAGAGAATTGGACCCTCTTTTACCTGTGTTGTAAATCTGTGATAAATTAATTTAATTAAATTGCTTTTTATGCTTATAATTTTTTTTTGAATGTATGCCAGGCAGCTACATTTCTTCTTTTGACATTCATTTTTAGGATTGCTATTGACGTTGGTCTATATAAGCAAGCTGCCACTTCTCAGTTCATGAGTGCATCCTCTTCATGGATGCCTGGTATTTCTATAAGTGAATCGCTGCGGACATATATGGCTGAAATTGTGCCAATTCTTGCATTGATTATTTTAGGATACTATCTATACAAGGCCATTTCTAACTACTGTTGGGGAATTGCAAAGTGTGTTACCATGGGAACAATTTTAAGCTATTTGCTCATAGCATTGCATTGGATTTCTGAAAGCAACATATTGGATCTTGCCCATTTTCTTAAAGGATATGGAAAAAATTACATCCCTCGGACAATTTATGGTATTGGACTTGGTCAGCTGTTACTGTTGGCGATTGTTCCACTGTTCAGGAAGGAGGAAATGTCAAATTACAAAGGAAACTTGTTTGTTAAAATGATATCTATTTTATCTGCGTGTAGTTCAACAGTTATTATTCTCCAAGGGAAACAAGGTGCCTTGGTTGTGTTAGGATCCTTGTTAGCAGGTGCTTTTTCCCTATAGCACATTTGAGATTGATTTCCTTTTTCTTGCCAGGCTATAGAGTTATATTATCAGATTCTTGATTTTAATGATCTTTGAACCTATGGTGATGACTTATATGTTGCAGGTTATTGCATGATGAGGCTTCAGGGCATAGAACAACATACTGTCCGTGGAGGTGCAGGAATTTCAATTTTTAATCCTCTTCCTATTGTGCAGTGGAGTCTTTTAGCTCTGTGTCTGTTTTTTGCAACTGGCCACTGGTAAGATGCATGCATATAATTCATTATATTGAATCATGCACGTGGCAGTCAACATGTTTGGTATCGATGCTCTTGGTTTAATTAATTAGCTAATTTTGTTATGCTAGGTAGATCCTTCTATGTGTGGTCTGTTTTGTTCTTCTAATGCTACTCTTACTGTCGTAGAAGGTGTATCCATATAAAGAACTTTACAGTTTTAACTAGAAGATGTAACTGTTTCTGAATCTGCTATAAATTTTTCTTCAGGTGTGCTTTTGATGGCCTCCGATATGGTGCTGCATTTATTGGGTAAGTCTTTGGTATGTGTGTGAACTTTTGCATCTTCTATTCCAAATTAACCGGCCAAAAGAAGTAACTTTTGCATTTATCTTTCTTGATCACAGAAAATAATTAGTGACTTTTTTTCCCTTAATTTAAAAAAATTAATAAAATTTCCAGCTATTTATTGTTTATTGACCCAACAGAGGTTGACCTGATGTTCAGGTTTGATGACTTTGTTCTTGCACCGCAAGCTATCCTTCTTACAATTGATACATTTGGATTTTCTCGCATTCTTCCTATATTTGGACTGCCTCTTTTTGTTGCATTCTCATCCCTGTCCAATCAGACTGAGGATGGAAGTCTCTTCTCTATAAAGTTATTTTGGGTAAGTCTTTTTAATGAGGATGTCTATTTTCCTATGACGTGGACTACTTAATAATAGTTATAGTTTATCATCCTATCTCGTGAACTTAAATCTGATATGTATTTTCTGATCTGTTATAAAGGTTCTTTTTAGTATGATTATTTTCAATTTAAATGTATACTTTCTTAACGACAAGATATGCTAATGATGGTTCATCGTCGCTTTAGATATTTATGGTGTATGGACTCATTACAGCTACTACAGCCACCGCTACTATAGTATGTGTCGCCATCCAAAGGAGGCATCTAATGGTACAGTGGCCTTTACATGGTAACATCATATTTGTTTGATATGAATCTCAACAGCATGAAAATCTGCCTTTTCTTTGCTTTGCAGGTGTGGGGATTATTTGCTCCCAAGTTTGTTTTCGATGTGGTGGGACTTATCCTTACTGATATCCTCATTTTTGGGGCATCCATTTACTATTTTTAATGGTGTTAAAAATTGTGTTGGAATCGCAAGGATTGTTAGGCGATCAGATTGTTGAATTGAGGAGGCTTTGGTAGATTCTTTTAGCAGACAAATAATGAGTGGATGACATGAAATATTGATCAAAACTATGCCAAATCAAAAATTTTGCAGGATAGCATTTGTAGTGTTAAACATTGAAAATTTTACTTGATCTGTCTTCTGTTTTTATCCCTTCATGCCTTTCTCTTTAGTTTTTCCCCCTTTTTCAAGAAGGCTTCTAACGTTTTATTTGAGGATAAAAAAATATATCCATTTTGGAGCGTTGATATTTTGTAGATTGATGATGTAATTTGTCAACTTTATAAGTGGGTTAAGAATCCACCATTAATCTTAGGTAAGGAAGTTTCCATTTGGATGGCCTGGTTAAAGGTTCATGTATTGTAGGGTGAAGTCTTTTGGCAAGTTTCCATCCAGGCAAATTCAGGCTGGATTTGCAGAAAGATTATGTTGTGAAGAGAAGAAGTTGCTCAATTGGTGTGCAAAATGAAAGACTTTCTTGGCGTAAGGTAATCTGTTCATGCAATTTCTATAAGAACCCAAATGAAATGGTTAATCACTTGGCTAAAGAAGGAATGAGCTATTTAATGTATTATGGTGGTAGTTACGCTAGAATTAGATACGAGTTATGCGCAAGTCTTCTACTTTTTCACAACATATATATTTTATCTACACTGATGCTTTTTCAATATTGTAGATTTTATCTAGCTATGTCATACTCTTTTCTTCAAAACTAAGTTTTTAATGAGACATACAAAATTATTTCATATCCATTATCAAATTATTGAAAGTATTTAGAACAGATATTACTTTGTAATTAACTTAGTTTAATAAAAATATTATAATGAAAAATATTTTTATTATTAATTAATTGAAAATATTGAAGTAATAAAAACAAATAAGATAATAAATAATTAGTTAAGAGAAAATTCACCCTAAATGGGTAAATGGATATTTTTCGAACTATAAAGGAAAGTATATTTTGTACCAAACTTTTAGGGTAATATCGATGGGTTGGTTCAAGTGGTAAGCAGTTTGATATTACTTAAGTATGGATTTGGGTTGGAATTTTTGTGTATGCAGAAAATTTCCGCGAAAAAAGTCATCCATAAAAATTAGGTGTATGACGCGGATCAGTCTGGATTAATCATGATAAAACTTTAGAATCGGGGGGAAATAACTTCAAGGGTAAAAATCTTTTACCCTAGTTTTAATTGATTTTTTCCATTAAAATTTTCATCATTCTTGGTCTTTCAATTTGAAAATATTAAAATTTTGGCATTTTCTAGTCAACATGACACACGATTATTGGCAACATTAATTTTATGTTTGCAAAGTGGTTGAGAAGTTGAAAAAGTAACACTGGTCTTAATTTTCATTTTTCTTTTCTCAAGAGAAATATTTATATAAACTGATTTTTTTTCTTTAGCAGAATTTAAAAGTCTTGATTTTAAAATGTCATCACTCTTTTGTTGATTTAAGTAAATGGGAGAATTCGTTTGGGTATCAAACATTTCATAGCAATCCCTAATGACATAACATAAAAGAAGAAAAAAGCTAATAGGGCAGCCGACCAAATCTCATGAGATCAGTGATGAAATAATGTCATCGGTATATCATAGTGGCAGATGTACATAGATTAGGGTAGGCACGTGTCTATTTTAGAATTCGAATTTTTTTATATTAGTTGTTTATTTTACCGAAGGTGTTTATCCTGGAATGTTCTAGATCCGCAACTGTATATCCGATCGGATCAATTTAATTGAAAAATAATTTAATATGTCAAAAAGGACTTGACATGGATGACAAAGGCGACATTGAACAAACAAAACGTTGCTTCTTTGCTACGAGTGGTTGTGAAGTTGCTTTCATGCAATTTTCGTTCTTACCAAGCAAAGATTCTCAACCAGACCACACTAATGGCCCACGCTTTTCCATCTTTGTGAATCACCTGGAACAAGAAATAGAAAATTAATTCATTAAAATGTGATATAAAATATTTCTTTTACATATAAATAAAGGATAAATTATTAAGGTCACAAAATTTATACAAATATTCACATAAACATAATGTAAATACTCGCCGATTGTCACACTACTTCAACGATTAAATGATGTTGAAATTCTTTTATTTAAGTTCAAATTCTATTATTTTTAATTATTTAAAAAAATTAAAATTTATTCATCCTAAATTCTGGTGCTCAAAATTTCTCATGTGCCATCTTGAATTTCCTACCAAATGTGTTAACCTAAACTAAATTTCAAACCTCACATGCCCTCTGGCATTATTTCTTATTGGAAGTTTTGGGTTATTTTAAGTCCAACTGTTCACGACGACTTATTTAAATAAATATCATGTGTGTATCAATATATATACGGACATAATTATATTGTTAAGATTAAAGTTTTTTTATTAATCTAGGGTGATTATAAGATAGTATATGTTCTAAAGATTCTCAACAATTTGATAATAAAAGCTCAGTACTCTTACGGTCTCTGGTGCTCGAAACTAGGATCTCTAAGGATAACAATCATCCCTTTAACTACTGAGGTATTAATTTTTCATTTTTAAATATCTAAATTCGAGTTTTATTATGTATAATTATAATATTTGTTCTCTTCTAAATTTATTATAGATTTAAACATCACCATATGTTCGTAGTCAAGTACGTACGCATTATTTTATGTAAATTTCAAGAGAGGATAAACTTATAAGATTTAAGGGGGTGAAAATAAATTTTCAGTAGAAAATACATATAAAAAATTTAAAATATATGATAAGTTTAAATTTTCAGAAGGCAACCGCCCCACTCACTCCTCTCAGTCCATCCTTATTTATAATAAGTTTTGACCAAATATTGAAATATGATATACAAATGGCATTCATTAATAAATATAAAAAGAATACTATACAGAATAGATTTTATTTAATATTGTCATATATACAACTTATGTCAGTTCCTTTTTTTTTCGAGAAGAAAAGCGATACTTGTAAATCCGTACGAAGAATCGAGTCGTACGAATTGAAGTTCATTAGATTTTCTTTACTCAACACACCAACTTCAAACGTACTTATTAAACCAACGACTCTTTCGGGCTTAATCACTTATTTATTTTCAAATAATCAATTTCAATAGAACTTTTCATATGTTAGGTGAGATCTATCAAATAGTTCATATGACCAAAAAAAATACCTGCCCTTAATTTCAAAGTTATTTAAAAAAGATTCATTGATACGTTGTTTTTTTTCAGTCAGATCAAACCATGTTTGGCTAGAAGCGGAAAATACAATTGACCAGGAGTCGGCCAAATTTGCCCGTTGCTAGGCTTTAAATTTTCTTACGTAAAATGTTTTATAATAAAAAATTATTAGTATACTTAAACTTTAATTTGATTAAACAACATCTTAAAAACTGTGGTTTCGAGAGAGAGAGAGAATTTCATGAGGTTCAAGACTTACCATTTTATATTTACGTGATTAGTAAAACCCGAATGAAGCATTATTCTATTATTTCATGAGGTTATAAACTTATCAGAAACATAAATGGCATAAAATAGCTAGGAAGGTGTAACGAAATAAAAACAAAGGTCGGATTTGGAATCCGGGTATTGAGTGAAGTTAGTTATGTAATTTGCGATCTTTTGTTACCGTTGGTGGTGACGGACGATGGTGACCATCGACGCAGACATCGACGATGTCCAAACATTCTTAGAGAGAAGGCAAAGAAAATATTGAGTGTCACATCTTAAATTTGGGCCTAAGTTGAAAACTCTTTAAAGCTTGTGCTTAATCATGAGTTTATGAAAATTCAGGGTCTAATTGCATAAATTATCCATTTTGGGTAAATATTCCCCCTCTTTCCTTTTTCCCCCTCCAACAATGCAAAACTTTCCAATTTCTCTCTCTCTCTTGTTTTCTCTCTCCACCATCACTCTAATTTGATTTCTCTTCGTTCCGTCAACATTCAGGCTATCATGACTCTCATCACCAACGTAATTGTGTTCGTCTCGCCGTCACCGTTTGTCCGGTACCCTTGGTTGGTCATTTTCAATTGCTGTTAGCGTTGAATGAGGGACTTTAGTTTTGGGTTTTCAAGAAAACCTAATTTTTGATATTCTTTTTCGCAAACCGACCGCAGTAAGCCCTTCTACGTGTGTTAAAACATAATTATGCAAATTATGGTATTTTTGAAACCCCTCCACCTTCCCTCTTGTGTCGTTGTGCGCGTGTGGGACTACTCTATGCGGTTTTAGTTTCAAAATCGGTCGAATCAATTTATTTTTGGACCAAATTGGTTGGACCGGTCTTGAATCCGTCGACCGACCCAACCCATTGACCGCTGACTTTGATTGTTGATTGTTGACCACTGACTTTGACCATTGACTTTGAGCAATTGACTTTTTCCAAAAACCCTATCTTGATATTTTTTGATGTCTAGAGTCTGTTTTACCAAATTTTGACTCAAAATCTTGTTTTACGTCATTTATTGCTTAAAGTCTTGATTATACTAAGAAGTTATGAGATTTTAGACTCATTTTCTGATGTTATGTTTTGAAGGTACTCTCCTGTCTTTGGATTATTCTACAGTAGACCCTAATCACTCTCGTTATACTTACTTTGAGTTCATCCGCTTGTCTCGAGATACGTTTAAGTTTTGTTTAGTGACTTTATGGATTATTCTATTTAGTTGTCTAACATCCGTTTTTATAGAAGGGTGCAGTTTTAGGTCCTTATTCCGCAAGACGTAGAACGATCTATCGTGAGAAGCGCAAGGCTTAGGCGCCAGTATTATTTAGCTACTATAGGTGTGTTCTCTAGACATGTACGATATTTTTCAATGCATTATGCTATTAAGTTATATGTACTGTTTGAAAACATATTCGTAGTAGATCATAATTATATGTGGCATTTCTATTTCTTGAACGTTGTACATCACTTATTATCTGCATACTGATGCAATCTTGATTCTGTATGGGATTAAATCTCCATCTTGATTCTACATGGGAATATATCTCTGTCTTGTTTCTGTTTGAGATCTTTTTCAGAGGGTTAAATCCCCATACTGATTTCTTTTTCTGATTGAGATCCTCTTCAGAAGGAACGTCCATATCCTATCTATCTGTGGTGAAAGGTATAGTTGCATGTTAATGATGCTACGCTCTGGTGAATAAAT